ACACACACACACACACACACACACACACACGCACACGCACACACAAAAAACTGAATCCTGATAAAAAGGATTAAATAAAATACATTATATAAAAGACAACTGAGACAGGGGTGGGGGTGAGGTTAGGCATCTTGTTCCTGAGTGCTGGTAGGTTGGAGATAGATCCTTCATCAGTCTACTCATTAGTAATGAGGATGTTGCTCCAGTCTACATTCCAACCCTCACCTGAGGTCAGGAGTAGGTCTGTCACGATAGTCAATAACTCAATTAATTGTATGCTAAATAAATTTTGAGGTAGATAAAGAAAACGAGGACGATAATTTTCATTTGCCTGCTTGTTTGTTCACTTCGTCTCTCCCTCTCTATGCTCCGGTGCACAGAGTGCTCAACGGACCCCCACCACCACCACCACCTGTTTTCTTAGTGTCGGGAGGAGGGAAGTCTTGCGTTAGGTATTGCCAGGTGCGCGGTCTCGTACCTCTTTAGCATGAGAACTTCTAGCAAAAACAAACTGAAGAAACGCTGTTGAGATTCTGAAGAATGGAGATGGAACTGGTTTTAAAGCTGAACGCGACCATTGAATTGGGAGCACCTGGGTTCAAACCCAATGACCGTGGTGAAACACTAACCTGTGCGGGCCGGTATGCCAAATTTGTTGTAAAAAAAAAAAAGGCAACTAAAAGTAGCAATATTACAAACTTGCATCTGCATGTAAAACATAATCATCCAATATAGTTTTCCCAGCCGGGAAAAAAAAAAAAAAAAAAAACTGACGGGTCGTCTCAGTGTTCCCGACAGTCTACAATATTCAACCGACAAGCAACATACAAAACGGGAAGTGAAGTTGTGCACACTCACAGACAGCATAGTTCGCTTCATCTCTAGAGAGAGGCTGCTCTTTAATATTGGTTTTTATTTTTTTTTTGCCTGTTTTGCTTGTCAGGGCCTGATGATTATTATTTTTTGAAGAATATTTTGTTTACAAAAGTGGGATGCTGTTGACCTCAACCTGTGATGTCGTCGGAAGGTGGAAGGAAATCTTCTGACCTTCTCAACCCCACCTTCTCTAAGTCTTCTATGGAGAAAACAGAGTCTGAGGAGTTTGGGGCTGGGCTGTCCATAACTGGAGCTGAGGTCGCTGAGGTAGTTAAAAAGGTCCACAGCAGCAGGGCTCCAGGGGTGGATGAGGTCCGCCCTGATTTCCTCCAGGCTCTGGATGTTGTGGGGCTGCCCTGGTCGACACGCCTTTGCAACATCGTGGACATCGGGGGCAGTGCCACTGGATTGGCAGACTGGGGTGGTGGTTTCTCTCTTTAAAAAGGGGGACCTGATGGTGTGTTCCAATTACAGGGGCATCACTCTCCTTAGCCGCTCTTATTTTGAAAATACGAAAGTGCTTGTTCCTTTTCCTGTTGGTGCGATGTGATCTTTGCAGATTGACTGCGGAGCAGCTCCAGCATCCGGCAAAAATAGGATCAAATCTAATTTTGTTGGATCGCCGTCAGCTCACTGTCGCCCTGCACCGCTGTGCGGAGCCAGTGTAAATACTCTCATTGATTATGGATATTTATTTGCTGCGAAGGTCGGAGCGGAGCCACATCTAGTGTAAATTAGGGGGTAATAGTTCAGAAAAAGGCAGCTGACATGATTCGTAGGGGGCCAGGGCTTGGCCTCAGAGCCAGGAGAAGCTCTGTCATCCAGGAAAGAGCTACTGCTCCTCTGGAACTAAAAAGGAGTCAGCTGATCAGGACCTGGACGTTCCCACTGAACAGAGAGACCCCAGGGCAGACCTAGAACGGGCGCGACCCACTCTGGGGACACTGGCAGGTGGGGAGTTTGACTGAGGCGGTACACCTGTGAAACAGTAACGCAGGTGTTTTAAGGCGAGCTCAGGGAGGACAGAAACCTCTAGTAGAGCAGAAAGGCAAAGGCTTGCTTGATCTTGATTTTCAGTATGAAATCCTCTCTGGTCTAGGAACAACATGTGGACCCCCAGGAGGAGCTGGAGAGGGTCTCTGAGGAGAGGGAGGTCTGGGTTTCTCTCCTGGACCTGACTAAAGGTGAGTGAATGCAGACTGATTCAAAGTAAAATCCAACAAACCTTCTCTGGAAGGAAACTTGGATAGAACTGTGTTTTCAGACTGAAGATCTTTGCTGCTGCTGAAAAAAAAATAAAAATAAAATCATTAAAACACCTGAAGTTAGAGGAAAAACCTGTTCCTTACAGGAACAACAAAAAATATCATTAAAAGACTGCAGTCAGCGTTTTTACCTGAGGACTTGATGTCCTGGAGAGTTGACCTCACCTGAATCCTGAAGGTCAGAAGATAAAAACTGAGCAGGTGAGATCAACAGGTGTGGATTTTATTTAACAATAAAACAGATTTTACCTAGCTCTACGCATCTACAGGAGGGCTCAGATCTAACATGAGGGGTGGAGCTAACATGTACCTGAGACAGGAGGGAGAGGTGGAGCTAACATATCTGAAGGCTGGAGGGGAAGAGTAGGGTTGGGCAATATTGGCAAAAAAATTAATCACGATTAATTGTGGTATTTAGCCGATAATGATTAATTTGACAATTAATCCCCTGGAGTCCCTGGACACCCTTATGTCCTGGTCACATGACTAATTTAGTGGGAAAGATTTGCTCATCATAAAAATCAGTTCCAAACTGCGTCAAAATTACAGACTTCAGGCTACACATCTAATTTTAAATTGTATTGATAGATAAATTACAGAACTTTATTTTAACGTTTGTCATATTTGAAGCAGAGAGAAGCAGCGAGCGAGCGGACTCTGCCTGGTGGCATTAATCGTATTAATCGTCAAGTGCCAAAAAGTAATTGATTGTTTTTCTGACGATTAATTGCACACGATACGATTATGCCCAACCCTAGGGTGGAGCTAAGATATCTGAAGGCTGGAGGGGTGGAGCTAAGATATCTGAAGGCTGGAGGGGTGGAGCTAACATATCTGAAGGCTGGAGGGGTGGAGCTAACATATCTGAAGGCTGGAGGGGTGGAGCTAACATATCTGAAAGCTGGAGGGGTGGAGCTAACATATCTGAAGACTGGAGGGGTGGAGCTAACATATCTGAAAGCTGGAGGGGTGGAGCTAACATATCTGACGACTGGAGGAGTGGAGCTAACATATCTGAAGGCTGGAGGGGTGGAGCTAACATATCTGAACGCTGGAGGGGTGGAGCTAACATATCTGAAGGCTGAAGGGGTGGAGCTAACATATCTGAAAGCTGGAGGGGTGGAGCTAACATATCTGAAAGCTGAAGGGGTGGAGCTAACATCTCAAAGCTGAAGGGGTGGAGCTAACATCTGAAAGCTGGAGGGGTGGAGCTAACATGTACCTGAAGGCTGGAGGGGTGGAGCTAACATGTACCTGAAGGCTGGAGGGGTGGAGCTAACATGTACCTGAAGGCTGGAGGGG